CGATGCACAGCCCATGTTGTCGAGCAGCACTAGGGAAAAAAAATTCGGCCTTGGCTCTGACGCTTTGGGCGGCTGGGATCAGCTTGACGACGATGGTGAACCTTGATGGATACAATGGTTGGCGGAGGGGCGGCAGCACCTTGATGGTATGGACGATCCTTGTTGCCAAGACCAGCTACCTCGCGGTTTACATGCGCTGTTATTGCATTCTGACCTCGACATTGGTCATAGTAATCAAGGTTGCCTTTACGTTCGTTGGTGATGAAAGCCCTCGGGTTTGATGCCGGCGCGGAGGCGTCCAGAAGGGGCAACGCCATTTTCATTATGACAGAAGGCCGATCTGCCAAGACTATATTAACCATAAAGTTGTCCGCCCAGGTGTCCCATGTGTCGTGCCAGGAGCGTGACCTTGCGATAGGATGGGTCTTGACTCTTGGGTGCGAAGTGTATGTAGTATGTATGTATGTACGCATGTATGCACATAGGTAGTACTCCGTAGCCGAGCGGCAACTGACGGGAATAAGCCCCTTGTTGTGGCCTGCCTGGATTTGTCCGAATAGTGGCCAATTCTATAGACGATTCGGCCATCCAGAGTCCTTGGCGCGTTTGCAGTCTGCAATATAGTCACGGAGCCTTGTTCATCATGTGTGTAAGCACACCGCTGTGCACCCGAGCTGAGATGAACCGTCCACTAGCACACAGGTTGCAGGTATTTGGCAACAAAAGTGCTTTCCATAGCGTGACATTGTGTGCACAAGGGTTACCCATCATCATCCCGAGGCGTAAAACATTGCATGGGGTGTCATCTCATGCAGGAATTGACGGGATGGACAAGGGCAGGCCGTCATCAGCCACGGCCATGGTCCGGCCGGTCTATCAGACCATGACTACGCTTGGAATCGGTTAGTTAGCCTCCTCGTAAATTCAGTATAGGTGTCGTTTAAAGTTCTGGACCTTCACCTGCTGCTCTCTCGCTGATACTGCATCGGTGTTCGTCGCTCGTGAGGCCAAAGTACCAGTTGACTTCTTCTGTGGAGTGTGGAGTGGCGGTTTTGGGTGCGGTGTGCATCAAAGACATCGATAAGTGCAATCCTGAGTACAATATGCTGGAGGAGGCATAGGGTTCGCGAGGCCTCCGTATTTACAAGTTTTTTGCAGACAATGCAATTCTGCGGAGAGTCCTTGGTGCTGGTAGTTAAGGAGTGCATGTAGATGCTTTCCGTCCCTGAGTTGGCCTGCTGGCCACACGACATGGTGGTGGTCAGCCACCGTCAGCCACGGTTAGCCACCGGTTGCAAGAGCTCCCAACCCCAACCAGCAACTTCAATGTTGGGAAATTAGCGGGTCGCGCTGGCACAGACACTTTAATTGAAATCCCCCAAAAACGCGTCTCCCAAGCTCAGTGGGATTGGCGACGCGACTTGACTTTCACAACTCCGTCATTGCCCGTCCTTTGGTTCAAGGTGTGTGAGGTCCAACGAGGAAGAATTCTGCACTATGGCTTCAAGACCCGAATTAAAGGTGAGCACCTGCAAAAAAACGACGACTTCTGTGTTGACTTTCTTTGTATTTATTCGCTGACTCGCGACTCGACTCGACTCGACTTAGCTCGACGACGAGGGCGGCTTCATTCGTTTCTACAAGTCACTTCCCGATGTAGGGGAGGACACTATCAGAATATTTGACCGGGGCGACTGGTATACTGCGCATGGTGACAATGCCTCGTTCATCGCGAAGACGGTAATTCTCTGCGTTCGACTCTCCTCAGCCACTGGTGTGCTAATGTCAGCCAGGTTTACAAAACGACATCCGTTCTCCGCCAACTCGGCCGAAACGACCACACCGGGCTCCCATCCGTAACAATGACCGTTACCGTGTTTCGTCAGTTTCTCAGAGAAGCTTTGTTCAAGCTGGGCAAGCGCATTGAAATCTGGGAGAGCCCGAGTGGCCGGATGAACTGGAAATGCGTCAAACAGGCTTCCCCCGGCAATCTGCAAGACATCGAGGATGACCTTGGCGGTCAAATCGAATCGGCGCCCATGATCATAGCAGTCAAGATTTCAGCGAAAGCTTCCGAGGCAAGGAATGTCGGCGTGTGTTTTGCAGATGCCAGTGTGAGAGAACTTGGCGTCAGCGAGTTCCTAGACAACGATCTCTACTCCAACTTTGAGTCCTTACTCATCCAACTGGGCGTTCGGGAATGTGTCATCCAGCTCGATAAAGGCGACAAGGATAAGGACCCCGAATTAGCTAAACTCAAACAAATCATTGACAACTGCGGAGTCGCTATTGCAGAACGTCCTGCGGGGGATTTTGGTACACGAGATATCGAGCAGGACCTCGCTCGTTTGCTGAAGGACGATAAGTCGGTGAATCTCCTCCCCCAGACTGATCTGAAGCTTGCAATGGGGTCCGCTGCCTCATTAATAAAATATCTCGGAGTTCTGCAAGACCCTTCAAACTTTGGGCAGTATCACCTCTATCAGCACGACCTCGCACAGTTCATGAAGCTGGATGCAGCGGCTTTGAAAGCCCTTAATTTGATGCCTGGTCCACGGGACGGGTCAAAGACTATGAGCATTTACGGCGTCCTCAATCATTGCAAGACGCCAGTGGGTAGCCGCTTGCTCGCTCAATGGTTGAAGCAGCCCCTGATGGACAAGGACGAGATTGAGAAGCGCCAACAGCTAGTGGAGGCATTCTTCAATGACACTGAGCTGAGACAAACGATGCAGGAAGAACATCTTCGCTCCGTGCCGGACCTCTATCGCCTATCAAAGAGGTTTCAGCGAGGCAAGGCAAACTTGGAAGATGTCGTTCGTGCGTACCAGGTTGTGATTCGACTTCCTGGATTCATTGGCACTTTTGAAGGGGTCATGGATGAGGCTTATCGAGATCCTCTTGATATAGCGTACACGACCAAGTTGCGCGAGCTTTCTGATAATCTCGGCAAATTGCAAGACATGGTGGAACAGACAGTTGATCTGGATGCCCTCGACAGGCATGAATACATTATCAAATCCGAGTACGATCAGGGCCTGCAAACTATTCGCAAGAAGCTCGATCAGCTCGACCGTGACATTCGAGCAGAATTTCATGAGGCTGCGCGGGACCTAGGTCAGGAAGCAGACAAGAAGATATTCCTAGAGACTAGCCACAAGGTACATGGAGTTTGCATGCGATTGACCAGGCAAGAAGCCGGCTGTATTCGAAACAAGTCAAGTTATCAAGAATGCTCTACACAAAAGAACGGCGTCTACTTCACCACAAAAAAGATGCAGTCTTACCGACGGGAGTACGATCAGCTATCTCAGAATTACAACAGAACCCAGAGCAGTCTGGTCAACGAGGTTGTCAATGTTGCATCGTCATACTGCCCCGTTCTCGAGCGCCTTGCCGGAGTCCTGGCTCACCTTGATGTGATTGTTTCGCTCGCCCATTGCTCCGTCCATGCCCCAGAGGCATATGTCCGGCCCAAGATTCACACCCGAGGTGAAGGCCAAACCCGGTTAATCGGTGCCCGCCATCCCTGCATGGAGCTGCAGGATGATGTACAATTCATCACCAACGACCTCGAGTTTACCAGAGACAAGTCGTCCTTCTTGATCATCACTGGCCCCAACATGGGCGGCAAATCTACCTACATCCGCCAGGCTGGTGTCATTGCGCTCATGGCCCAGATTGGCTGCTTTGTACCTTGCGCCGAGGCAGAGCTCACCATCTTTGATTCCATTCTTGCTCGCGTTGGCGCCAGTGACTCACAGCTAAAGGGTGTCTCTACATTCATGGCCGAGATGCTAGAAACGGCAAATATTCTAAAATCCGCCACAAAGGAGTCCTTGATCATTATTGATGAGCTTGGACGAGGCACATCGACATACGACGGCTTTGGGCTGGCGTGGGCCATTTCAGAACACATTGTCAAGGAAATCGGCTGCTTTGCCATGTTTGCAACTCACTTCCATGAACTGACGGCCCTGGCAGATCAATATCCCCAGGTGCGCAACCTCCACGTCACAGCACACATCAGCGGCACAGGCAAGGACAATAGCAAGCGCGAAGTCACGCTGTTGTACAAGGTAGAGCCCGGTATCTGCGACCAGAGTTTCGGTATTCACGTCGCGGAGTTGGTTCGCTTTCCGGACAAGGTGGTCCGCATGGCGAAGCGTAAGGCCGATGAGCTGGAAGACTTTACAACAAAGCATGAGGACAATGCACTGGCTTACAGCAAGGAAGATGTTGAAGAGGGCAGCGCAATGCTCAAGCAGCTATTGATACAGTGGAAGGAGCAGGTCGGCAAGGGAGAGATGAGCCAGGAAGAGAAGGTCTCCAAGCTGAAGGAGCTTGTGGCTGCTGATTCGAAGCTACTGGCGAACCCGTTCTTTCAATCCGTTAAGGCTCTGTAATCAAAGGTCTGAGTGTGAGTGTGAGTGGCACGGGTAATGCTCCAGGCGAGATAGGTTTTGGGCTTGTACAATATTCGGTTTCGTTGGTCGAGGCGTTGGTAGTTTGGGGGGTTTATATTTGGGCATGTAGAAGGATGGGTACACAGTAAACAAAATAAATTGATATATTACGGGCACGCTTCTGTGTTGTGACTTGTGTCAACTGCCCCCCGGCTCTAGTGTTCAGCCGGATGCTGGTTCTCTAGACATGTGTGCACGGATCAGAAACGGTAACACGTCTGGCTGGGTATTGCCATGCCGAGGAGTATAAACAGCAAACTAAGCCATGGTCATCTTTGGAAGAGGCAAGCACCGCACCCCAATGCCGTGTCGTCTTCTTCCGCAATAAATACCATTACTACAGGTTATCTTAATTCAAACCCAACGACAGCACCACAGTCACATCGTATTAGGGAAGCTCATTTTGACGTGCTTGACACAAAACAAAGAAACTCCATTTCTCTAGTAATGACATCTCTTCCCCCCGCCCCCGGAAGAGGTATATACATTTTCTCTGACGGGCGCGTGTTTCCTTCTCAGCTATACATGTCTTCTTTATTGGCTGCCCTCCACGGTAGCCTTGACGGGGTTGATCTCGAATCCGTACGTCTCCTTGATGCGCTCGCGTCTCCGCTCCTCATATCCAGGAGGCTGAATGCCTATTGCGGTCATGATTAGCAGGCCATAGAACAAAAAAAAAACTTGAAAGGGCTACCCAAGTCGGCGCGTACCTCGTCCCTCGCCAATCTCGGCAACAGTCTGCTCCACGGGTAGCCTGGTCGTCCTTCTGATCCTCTCCTTGCGCTCGAACTCGTCAGACTCCTTTTTGAAAGAGTCAATGCGGCCACCGAGGAAGTACAGTGCGCCTTGGATGGCGCCCACGGCACTGCCTAGACCCACGACGACGGGCATTCGCCGAGCTGTATTGTTTTCAACCCACGGCTTGGTTAGATGACTTGTCATTCGCGGTGTGCGTGTCTATTGTAGATGTTTCGACGTACAGGGAAGGCCCAAGACACCACCACACATGAAACCGCCAAAGGCGGCGGACCATGCGTCCTCCTTTTCGCGCAGGTTCATCATGGTTCTGGAGAAGAAAGCGTATGCGGCGGGGCCGGCAGCTGCAACACACAAACAACCAACCCGTTAGTCTCGCGAATTTTGAGAGCTCGCCGCATTGCCAGTTGCCAATTGCAGTGACAGGCTGGCCGGTCAGCGGGGGCAATTCATACCGCAGATTCCGATAATGGGGGCGCCGCGGGTAAATACTCCCAGGGCGCCGACGTTGCGCTTCGACATGGCGTTGCGAATGGCCGCGAGGAAGAAGCCGCCTCCCAGACCGACCACGGCGGTCTTGGCCGTCTCGTCGAGGACATCGTGAGGAGCGTAGGGCTTGTCAGACTCCAGCGGAGCCTGGTGGCTCGGGCTCGAGTGGTGATCCATGGCGCCGGGCTGCGATGGTTTGATGAGGAGCTGTTTGAAAGCTGGTTGTACGCAGGCTGGTCAAGACGGGATCTGGGGTGAAGGCGATGGCTTCACGTGATTTGTGAGCAATTGAACGATGCAGATTGGCTGGGTCGGAGCTTGGGTGCCAGAGTCCCCGCTTTTAGCTGGGATGGTTAGGACTGGTCAAGCTGAGGCTCACTAACAATTTACTCTTCCTGTGCTCACACGACAAGTGAGTGAGTGAGTGAGTGAGTGAGCTCAGCACGCGATTGGGCTCAACACAGGCAAAATTCATATTTTGAGGCAGGCTTTTCTTGTAAGTTGCCATATGAATTTCTTGTTACAGGCCCGTCATTCATGTCGATCCTGTTGATCAATCCCGGAGCAAGCTTCTGCGTGAAGCAGCAAAATTTTTCTTTTGGGCCATTCCATATAAGTCACAACTCATCGACGAGTGAACATACCTTAAGAGTCCACTATTAAACATTCGCATAGCCCAGAAACTACATCCAGCAGAAACCCGTAAGTTCACCAGATATTAACAGAGGCATTCTATCAAAAGAAGAAGAAAAAAAAAGACATCAAATGGAGATTGCCGAAGCCAGTACTACCAGCGGCCAGACGGCGCAAGCCGACCAGCAACAACCCCAAGAAACCACCACCGCGACACCAGCAGCAGCCCAAACAAGCACAGCCGGAGCAGAAAATGCAGAGCCAGCGGCGCCCATGTCCAAAAACGCGCTCAAGCGCCTCCGCCGCGCGCAAGAGTGGGAGGACGGGCGGGAGGACCGCAAGCGACGCCGGCGAGAGAAGCGCGTGGCCAGCAAGGCCCGGCGCCGCGAGGAGCGAGCAGAGCTGCTGGCCCAGGGAGCCGACCCTGCCGTGCTGTTTGCCAAGCGCGCGCCGGCGCGGCTCGTCCCCGTCTCGCTCATCCTGGACTGCGACTTCGAGGCCTACATGACGGACAAGGAGCGCGTCTCGCTGTCGAGCCAGGTGACGCGGTGCTACTCGGAGAACCGCAACTTCAAGTACAAGGCGCACCTCTGGATCAGCGGGTGGCGGGGCAAGCTGAGGGAGCGCTTCGAGACGGCCATGGAGAACCAGCACGCCCACTGGAAGGGCGTCAGCCTGGAGGAGGGCGACTTCTTGGCCGCGGCGGCGCGGGCGCGGGAGGGCATGAGGTCCGCCGAGGGCGGCGAGATGGCAGACTCTCTGCAGAGGAGTGCCGACGCGGCGGCGGCCAACAGGTGGGAAAAGGACGAGAGGGAGCCGTTCCCCCTGCCCGGGCCGGTGCCCGAGCTCGACGCCGAGCACGCCGACGTGGTCTATCTGACGTCCGAGTCGCCCTACACGCTGGAGAGGCTGGAGCCAAACACGAGCTATGTCATCGGCGGGCTGGTGGACAAGAACCGCGAAAAGGGGCTGTGTTACAGACGAGCCGTGGAAAGGGGCATTCGCACGGCGAGGCTGCCGATAGGGCAGTACATGAAGCTGCGGACGCGGCAGATTCTCGCCACGAACCACGTCGTGGAGATTATGTTGCGGTGGCTCGAGTGCGAGGACTGGGCCGAGGCGTTTATGCGTGTCATTCCGAAAAGAAAAGGTTTTGAGATGATTGCAGACGGGGATGAGGATAAGACGGGCAATGGCGGTGAAGACGGGGATCAAGGAGATCAGGGGGAGGACGGAGAGGAGAACAAAGAGGGTGGAGAGAAGAACGGAGAGGAGGACAAAGAGGACGGAAAAAAGAGCGGAGAGGATAAAGACAAGAACGGAGAGGACGAGACCGAGGGCAGCAATAGTCAAGACCCAAAGTAGAGCTGGGAACGACACAAAAAGGTCCAGGTATATACGTGTTATTTATTGGACTCGTGGTTACGCCAGCCAATTTTCAGACATGTTCATTATAGTTATATCCCAAAACAAAAGGCCAATGGATAAATACCTTTACTGAAATGCATCATGCATGACCCTCGTGGAAGGCTTCATTTCATGTCCGACAACGCATGCTTCATCTATTTGTTCAACGTTAGAAATCCATCACGTCCTCCCGCTCCCTCTTTGTCCGCACATCTCTTTCGTCCTTCATGATTCCGTTGACAAATGTCCGGAAATATTCGACATATGGTTTGAGGCTCGTCTTTTCCCAATCCGAGATACCTTTGCCATTGTCGTCCTGGCTCGCGGCGCCGTCGTCTCCTTTCCAAGAATCAATCTCCCCTAGAAGTTCCTGGACGGTAGGAACTGCCAAGGGGTCGAAATCCTCGAGTTCTCTCGTGTCAATTGGCACACAGACACGGCCGGTGCCGGGATGCACTACGAAGGGACTCTTGAGCAAATGGTTGAGTTTCTTGCTAACTTCGATATCGAGTCGTGGGTAGGTATATTCAAGGACAATATCTTGCTTGGCTTCAAGGAGCGCCCGTGCATCCAGGTTCTTGCTGGCGCCAGTCTTGGCCAGAGCGTCAATGTCAGCCCATTTGGATACTGAAGCTCTTCCAGGTGCGGCATCCCATTTACGACGTAGGGATTCGTTCAGGTTGCGATCGGGAAGTAACTGCAAGAGTTTCTCATATCGTTCCTCCGTGCCCCAGGGGTCTTGTACTTCCAGAACGTCTTCCTGGAAGTGGGTCTTGAGAATCTCAAGACTTCGACTGCGGCCTTTGTTAGTATTCGTCCAACAACAACAACAACAACAACAACCCCGTTTCAAAGTGCAAACTTACGCCAAGTGAGGGTGCAATGGCCTCCGGACGTTGACCTTCTTGCCACTTTGCGCTCCTCCCTTGACAACCTCAAGATAGCCGGCAATGGCCTTCCTCTTCTGATCGTCTAGACTGCGAACTTTCTTATCGCATACCCAAGCGTGGGCACCACGTCGACCTGAGTACACCCACATGATGTGCTTGAAGCCAAAGTCTTCACGCAGCGCAACATCGACAACCTTGATAGCCATGGTCATGAACTTCCAGCACTTGTTACAAATGTTGGCCTTGTCGCAGCAGGTTCGGATATCGTCATAGTCCGTCAAATCGATATCGAAGCAGAGTTCCTTGGCGAGTGGTTTGAAAGCAGATGAGTTGCGGAGCATCTTGCGGTCTCGCGGATTTGTAGAGTACACGGGGCCGATTTCGAAACGTGAGGGCATGAGACGGAGGACGTCTTTGCGGAGGCTTCAAGAAGAATCATGTTAGTACCGCAACAGGCAAGCAGGGAAGGGCGGGGTGTTGATGCCAAAGAGCGGTGCTGTACGCACAGGTCAGCTGTTGCAAACGACTGATATCGCAGGTACGCATCATTTTGGAGAGTGAAGGCGAACTCTCGATTTCCAAAGTCGTTGGTGGGAGTTGGGCTATGATTCAGCCACTGGAAGAGCTGGCGCCACGGAAACAGACGTTGGTAGAAACTCCTCATAACCTCGGGATCGGATGCTTTTAACGCACCAATGTCACTGTATAGGGCTGGTCAATACTTTTTGTGCTCGCCAGTCATCACCCAGCGAGGTCTCAATTCAATGACTCAGGGGTAACACATCGAAAAAGAGCCTCGCAACTTACGTTGGCGATGGTATCCTTGCTGGTGGGCTGGAGGGCGGTTGCTTAACTGGCGCAGAACTAGGAAACTCTTCGTCGTCCGATTCGTCGGTATCAACCATATCGGTAAGCTTGATGTCGTTCTTGACAAGAGCGACATCATCTGCATCATGGTCCATGTCAACGTCGTCGCCGTCACTGGCGGCCGGGCCCATGCGGCTAGCAACGCCAGAGTCGTCCATGGGTTCGTCCTTGACGGCACCTGGAGACGACTTTGCGCCCGTGATTGAATGTGGCATTCCAGGTTCAAACTGAGTGCCGGGATGGTCTGCGGATGGCAAAGTCGATCGAATGTTGGTTCGGTGAAGCGCAAGACACTGGAGGGTACTCGGTATCGGTTGTGAGGTTTAGCAGAAAGCGCGTCAGACGCGTAAATGGGCGCGTAAATGGATGTAGGCCGTCATGGCTTCACTAGTATGTAGTACGTACCAGCCACAGCCACAACCACAACCACTCGCCACGAGTATCAGCCACAGACATGGACATAATAGCCACTGCCAGCGCTGTCGAGTAGCTGCCAATGTGCAAACATTGAATCTCTCAAAATACGCCGTCCTCGAGCACAAGTCTGCTCCTCGCCGCAAGCACCTGGTCGCACTGGCCGACACAGCCAGTTTGCCTTTGAACTCTGTGATTCTGTCAAATTAGGCACTCTGCGCTTTCGCGCGTTGCACAGAGCGCACAAGTGTGACGTGCACGTTCAATATGTTGCCACGGTCCCACGGTCCCACAAACAGCCCCGGTCGTATTTCGGGGTCGCATCTCCTAGTTCAACGCTCAAGGGCGGCCTCTTGGCGAATTCGAGACCTGTCAAAGCTGGAGAAGATGCACGTCATCACACGGTCTAGAATACCGTCTGGTTCGTAATACCATCACAACAGCTCGCCTTTTGACACGGCCATCAAGATGCTGGGTGAGACCAGTCGCGCGCCTGACAGGCTGGGACGCGGCCCGTCTCATCTTTTTTTTTTTCTTTTTTCTTCTTTTTTTTTTCTTCAGAAATTTGGAAAATGGACTTGTTTTGCCAAAGAGGCAAACTTCACCACCAGCGGGGGGCCAGACAAGATGGGACGTCGAGTGTCCGGGACTTGTCCGTGTGCCCCCTCCAAAATTTCCAGAAAATGAGACCCTGCACGACCATGGAACCAATTCTTCCTGTAAAGGCCCGCTTCTCGTTGCCGTCAAAACGCATCTGGACGGATCCCTCGTCGCCCTCTCCAGCCGCAGTCGTCACCGTTCGTACATGTAGCATCCGTGCCATCTGATAAACACGTCAATTGGCAGCGGGCATCCCCGCGGAGCTGTCCGTGGACGGGGACGGCCAGGCCATGGCGAGACTGCATCGATTTTTCCTGCACGGCTTGCGTCCCTGGCTTGTCGAGCACAACAGAGTATTGGGGCCTAGAATCTCCCCTTGGACCCCCAGCAACTCCGAGGCGTCGAGCAAGCAGCCGGTTTCCTTGGCTACTCGACACGAATATGTGGCCAGCCCGTTCCTGTCCGTTTCACCTCGAGTGCCATCAATCCCATCCCAACCATTCTTGCCCCTGCCACGCCGCACTCGGGCACTCGGTACTCGGTACTCGGCCCCCGTTGCGCCGCTGCCCGACGACCCAGGTACGCGGTACCCCGTGCCTGGTTTTCCCAAAGGGGTCAATCTGCCTGGTGGGCGAAGAAAAAAAGGGGATCGGCGTCATACTACTCCGTACTGCATCGTCAACAAGGCTGCCCTCCTCAAAAATTCCAGAACCCCCCAGCGGCCCGAACCACCCCTTCTTCTCGGCCGGCAAAAAAAAAAAAAGGTCTGTGCCCACCCTCCCTTTGCAAAGCAAACAACCCCCATCGTGTTTGCTGTCATGAGTCTGGTCGCCCAACCCGCTTCGCCGTGGCTCCGAGGCTCCGACGAGACCCCGCCTACGCGCCGGTCCAGACCGTGATGGACCATCAGCCCGGAGCCGGGATCCCGGACCAGGAGATTGGCGCCACACTCTGGAGCTGGTCGCTATTATTATATCAGCCTGCCTGCTGCCCTCTCTCCCTTGCACCCCCTCACTTTCAAGATCCTCGATACTCCAGCCTCTGCTATAGCTTGTGATCCGAAGGGGGGAAAAGGTGCAGTCCATGGCGCTGCCTCGTGGTGCTTCTTCTTCCAATTTATAAACCGTGGCCCAACCTTTTTTTCATTTAGCACTTGTTACAAGACATGTGCTCGTCGTCAGGCATCATGGAAGGCAGTTGGGTCAATGTGTGCAACTTCCAGCACTCTCGGTATGCTTTGAAGAAGAAAAATGGTGCGTTGACGTTAGCAGCGCCTATATACCGCGCTTCCTTTTCTTTTCTTTTTTTTTTTTTTTTTTTTTTTGAATTAAGTTGACATATTCCACAGGTTCTGTATACAAGTCGCTTCCTATGTGAATGCCCCCCTCGTTCCCTTACGCGGCGTCATCTAAAAATGGCCTTCATTATCAAGAGATCTCGAGGATATCATTAATAAAAAATAGTCCCGGTATCCAAACGCCTTCCCGCCGCAACCACCTCGAAGCTTTTGGTTTTGAAAACGATATGCAAATTTCGTCGTGTCGCATCACGTCTCCTCTGCGAAGAGCACCCCCATTCGAGACCAACACTTGGACGCCACATGCGACCAATCGAATTGGACCATCCGGAAGAGCAGATTATTCGTTGCTACATCAACGAGAAAAGGTGCTTTTTGTGCTTTTTAAAATTAGGCTCCGGTATACGGCAATCGAACCGAATGAATCTCGTCATCAAAGGAGATAGGAATTCGACTCTCCATTTCGCCAAAAGTAATTTTTTCAAAAAAAAAAAAATCTTGGTCTTGCCCTCAACCATAGTTGGCTTGGGACACGTTGAGTCTTTGGCGCTTCTCAGGTGGGCTGTCGTGATCCGAGGTTGCGAAGCTGGAACGGCCTATACTGTATTGGTTCCCCCCATTCATCATACCATTCCACTGGTCGGCGTTGCTTGGACCTATGTGACTCGGGGACCATCCAGAGCTATTACCTCCAGGCGGCGTGCTCGACTCAAACTTGAGTGATGGGGGGGCGGCACCCACATAAGAAACGTTGCTCATCATAAACCCAGCTTCCGACTGCTCGGGAGGGTCCTTGAGGAGATGAGCCAAATGCGTCCGGACTGATTTGAGCATTCCTTCTTTAGTGAAAGGCTTTGCCAACACTCCGTTCATGCCTTCACGTGGCGTCG